TCACAAGGATTTGTAATAATAAGTGAAAAGAAGGAAGTGTAAATGGTTCAGCTGAACAGGGCTTTGAGGAACTGGCTAAACTGCATGAGCTGGCTGGCGCAGACGGGGAGGAGCCAGAGAAGCAGGGGCCCACCTGGGAGAAATCCCCTCCCCCAGCTGCAACTCCCCCACGTTCCCCAAGATGCAATGAGGCTCCACTTATGATCAGGGCCGAGGGCGTCCCAGATAGAAGAATTGGATGAATTTCTGATAACCAGATCTGGCCTAAATTTTTGAGGACAGAGTCACTCCCTTACAGGGTCATTAGTTCCTCTGAAGACAGACTTTGGACAGCTGGGTCCCTCTAGGCAGCCAGCAGGGAGGTCAAGTCCACAGGCCTGAGTCTGGCCGGAGAGGCAAGACTCCTGTCCACATGGCTCCCTTGAACCCCGCCCAGAGCCTGAGAGGTAACCCCCAAATGCCCTGGCTCCTGTTTCTGACACCCAGCCCTCACGCCAGCACCTGGCCCCAACACTCAGGAGGGAGGCCAGGCCTCACAGATGTTGAGCATCTGCTCTTGCCGGATCCTAGGCAGGACACCTGTACACACCTCCTCTCTGATCTTCACAGCAGCCAGGGCAAAGTGGAGCTGACTGTGATCCCCATTTTATGGATGGGGAAGGTGGGGTTCAGAAGGCAGCAGCGGCTGGCCCAGGCCATGCAGTCAGAAGCGGGGGAGCTGGGACTCCCCGAGGCTGTCCTGCTCCAAAGCCACAGGGGCAGCCTTTCAGATGGAAGTTGTTTAGCCTCCGTGAACGCTCCCTCTGCCCAACCTCACGGCAGTGCTGTTCACAGGCGTTGCCGGAGGGCTTCCAGGGTGGCATTTCCAGTAAATGCTGGTCTGCGCTGTTCTCAGGGGAGCTCAGCCCCGTGACTGAGGTCCCCGCCCCCAGCTGGCTCAGTTGAGGGTCTGCCTCCTGGGCCTGGGACCCTACACCCAAACAGCCCTGTTCTCTTACCCACATCCTGCCCTCTCCTTGGTTCGGAAGGAGTTTGGGTTTCCCAGGGGCAAGCACAACCCACACAGCAGTTTAGTGTAGATTAGAAGGGTCCCCCTCAGAACGCAGCAGCCTCATGGGCCCACTGATTTCATTCAGCCCACTTGCCGGGCACCCTGTGCTCCGAACAACCAGCCCACTGGTCCACTGTGGCCCTGCCTGTCCTCCTGCCTCACCCCCCAGCTGCAGGCTCCCTGTGGCCACAGGTTTCTGCACTTCCAGAACTTACACCTCTGGACAGAGTAAGGTGCTGAGAGCAGTTGCAGAGAGGAAAATGGGTCGCCTGTGCCCCCTTCCCTAGACCCCTGAGCGAGAAGCAGACAGTGCGCTGGTTAAGAGTGCTGCTCTGGAGCCCAGCCAGTGTGGCTTAGAGGTTGAGCCTCAGAGGGTCCCAGATCCCTTGCTTCTGACTGCATAGCCTGGGCAAGCCATGAACCAGGAGGTCACGGTTCAATTCCCGGTCAGGGCACATGCCTGGGTTGTGGGCTCCGTCCCCAGTGAGGGGAGTGCAGGAGGCAGTCAATCGATGATTCTCTTTCATCATTGATGTTTCTCTCTCTCCCTCTCCTTTCCTCCCTGAAATCAATAAAAATATATATTTTTTAAAAAGAGTGCTTCTCTGGGTATCAATCTTGACTCTGCTACTTAAGTGCTGTGTGACCTGGGGTAGTTACTTCACTTCTCTGTGCCGGTTTCCCTGTCTGTGAAACGGGAATAATAACAGCAACATCTCCTGGAGTTGTGATGATGAAATAAGTTAATAAACGTAGCTCTGGCCGGTGTGGCTCAGTTGGTTGAGCATTGCCCCATGCACCCAAAGCTCACTGGGTTTGATTCCTGGTCAGGAAACATGCCCAGGTTGGGGGTTTGGTCCCCTGTCGGGTCGGGGTCCATAAGGGAGGCAACCCATTGATGTTTCTCTCTCTCCCTCTCCTTCTCCTTTCCTCTTTCTCTAAAAATATCAATAAAAATATTTTTTAAAATTAATTTTAAAAGCCCTGACCGGTTTGGCTCAGTGGATAGAGCGTCAGCCTGCGGACCAAAAGGTCCCAGGTTCGATTCCAGTCAAGGGCACATGCCTGGGATTCGGGCTTGATCCCCAGTACGGGGTGTGCAGGAGGCAGCCAATCCATGATTCTCTCTCATCACTGATGTTTCTATCTCTCTCTCCCTCTCCCTTCCTCTCTGAAATCAATAAAAATATATTTTTTTAAAAAATTAATTTTAAAAAATTAATACACATAGAAGAGTGCCTGCCCCAGTAAGTTCCCAGTACGTTGTAACTTCTCGAGCTTTTAATTCCTGCCTGGTCACCTTCCCTCCTCCCAGTCCCTCCTCACCAAAGCCAGGAGTCCTCACACACCGAACCCTTTCCTGTCACCAATTCCTGGCAGTGGGTGGGCTGAGACTATCACCATCGTCGTCCTGATTTTACCATGGGCTCAGAAAGGTGCCACGGCCAGCCCAAGGCCAGAGCAGGCAGCACTCCAGGCCCCACCACGCTGGCCCTGCCAGCCACATGTGCCTCCACACTCACCACATGACCCACAGCAGATGGAGATCTTGCTGCTGACCCATCCCCTTGCTTGGCCTGAGGTCCTAAACCAGTGCAATAACTTCGGACAAAGCCCCACGGTGCCAGGGAGGGGCATTCCTGCTGGGACACTTGGGCTCGAGGTTGCACTGTCTCCACCATCAGCCCCGAGGTTGAGGCCACAAGTGCTCCAGGGAGAGACGCCAGGTGGGAGATAGAGGGTTTGCAAGGACTCCTTCTGGTCAGGGGGAAGTATTCTGGACGCGTCCTTTGGTCTCCCTTGGCCTTCCTACCTTGCATTGGGTGGGCTGGGACCTGCCCTCAGTGCCAAAATCCAGATCCCTGGGGGCCGTGGGCAGTAGCGGGTCTTGAGAAAAGTACTCCACTGCTTAAGATCTGATTGACTTAGTTTCTTTTGTTTGTTTTTCTAGGATCTGATTGACTTTGGGCAAGTTAATTAACTTCTCTGAGCCACAGTTTGCTCATCTGCAAAATGGGCAGACAAAAGTTACCTGCCTCACAGACTAGTGAGAATTCCCCCTGAGGGAAACTGAGGTACTTAAAGACGGCTCCCGCGGAGTACACTTGGAGTTAAGATCTGATTGACTTCGTTTCTTTTGTTTGTTTGTTTTTCTAGGATCTGATTGACTTTGGGCAAGTTAATTAACTTCTCTGAGCCACAGTTTGCTCATCTGCAAAATGGGCAGACAAAAGTTACCTGCCTCACAGACTAGTGAGAATTCCCCCTGAGGGAAACTGAGGTACAGAGAAGGCCAGCCTACGAGTGAGTTCCCTGGGGAGGCGGCAGTGGGGTACCTGTGAAGGCTGAATCCCAGAGAGCCTCTCCCCCACGGGAGGTGGCCACTGCCTCCCAGATCCACAGAACCCTCCACCCCACCTCCTCGACAACCCCGTGGGCAGATTCAGACTTGGTCCCTCATACACACATCACACATGTCACCCGCTCACCAGCAAAGCGACACCCACAGAGACTCCCTCCTCTGCATACCCAGTCCATTCAGTCCAACTGGGCCCACCCAGCTCTCCCCACACGCACAGGCACCACCAGCCCCCAGAGCAGCCCCCCTTTCCGGTGGACTGTGCTGAGGGAGCACCCACTCTTCCTCCCTACTTAGTCCTATGCTTTCTCTCCCTTTGTCCTCGGCCCCACCTGCAGCATCACCCTATGGTCCTATCTGGACATCCCCCCCAAAGCACCAGACAGGAGTCCCGGCACGCAGGCCCAGCAGTCACCTCCTGGCCAACACAGCCTGGGGGTGTACAGTTCACAGGTGGGGGTCCACCAGGGAAGAGAGTCAGACTAATGGCCACACCCAGCCAGGACACCCCATCCCTGGCCTTGGGGCCATCCCTACTGCCCATCTACCACCTCCCAGGGAGCCTGGGTAGGTGCTGAAGGCAGCCTCCACCCCTTTCCCTCCCACCCCCCACCTTCCACTCCCCCATTGTCGCTCCCCACCCCCACCCCACCCAGGCCTGCGGGCTCAGGACCATTAACTCCCCCTCCCCCCACTCGGCACTGCCCTGAGTGATGGTCCATCTATTATGCATGCTGCCTTCCTGCTCCATTCCATTTCCCGAGTGCCGCCCCTGCACCCCCACAGCCCCTCCACCCCCCCTAAGGGCTTTTAACCAAGTACATTAGGCAGGGCCAGATGCCAGTCTGACAGATGTCCACAGTTAGCCTCCGTTTCCCTCCGTCCTCCCTCTGCCCGGCCCAGTTACCTCCCACCACAGTTACCTCCCACCACTCAAGACTTCAGTTGCCCAAACTTCCCAGCCTCCTCAGAGTCTCTCCTCCTATTTCTGCCAGCCCTCACCAGCCCATCCCACCCTCCGCCCGCCCCCGGTGGCCTGGCTAACTTTCAGCTTTGAGCTCCTGGAGAGCTGAGGCAAGGCGTGCTGAATGAATATTCCATCTGGGTGATTATTATTCACATGATATTAATTAATTATTAATTGCAATTAATCTCCTTCATTCCTAACCTTCCTCTGGGAGGCAGGAGGGGCCTGGCAACTGAAAGGGACAGGGGGTGGTGGCATTTGTGGGTGTGCTTGTTGGGGCCTGGAACCTTTTTCCAAGGCCCCACCCTCAGCAAGGGCAGGAAGGAGAACAACATGCCTATCAGCGCAAGGGGGAAACTGAGGCAGGAGCAAGCACTAAGCTGTTCTGAAAAATCCCACTACGAGTGGCTGTGGCAAGAACCCAGGAACCCTGACCCCAGGCTCTTCGCTGCTTCTCCCTGCCCCTCCTGCCCTCCCCAGGCCCGTTTGGATAGAACCACTTGCTTTGGCAGGAGCGGAGTGGGGCTGGCAGAAGGCTGACCAAGACTGGACTGAGCCCTGGCATTTCAGTCCGCTGAGGGCAGGGGATCCCCAGGATGATGGAGGGGCCTGGAGCGGGGCAGGTGGGCGCTCCCACTAGTGGGCTCCATGGTGTCCATGGTACAAAGGGAAGCATCAGGAGCCAGCAGCCTGGGAGGCGCCCAACCCTTGGCTGCCCCTGGCCTCCCTTGGGCTCTGAGGCCTGCTCCAGCCCCCCGGCCTCCCCTCCCAGCCCCACTCACGGGGCCACCGGGTGGCTCCTGGCGGACCCTGGTGTCCAACTGCGGCTTCCGGACTTCTCCCCCGGAGCTCTCCCCCACCAGGCGGCTGGGCTCGGTGACCTCAGGCACTTCTGGGCCCCACAACTGAGGTGCGACCCTCCAACGCAGAACTCCAGCAGGACCCCAGGTCCCAAGACCTGGGGAGACAAGGCCATAGCTGTAGGCAGATGCCCACCGTGGGGCGGGAGACCTGGGAATGGGTTGGGCACCCCCACCCTCCACGCTGGCATTGCCCTGGGCGGCCTGGGGGACTAGACATGCTGCCCTGCAGCGGGAGAGTCCGAGGGATGGGGAGGGGGCCGGAGCTTCACTTCTTCCAATTGTCACGACTGCCCCCCCCCCCCAAGCCCGCCGAGACCTACAGAACCCGCCGGCCAAAGGCAGGGGGATGGCCGCGGGGGGCGGGCCAGATGGGGACAGGTGGGAGGTTTGGGAATACTCTTGGTGAAACAATAAGGAGCCCTGACTGGAACCGACTGTATGTGTCTACAAACTTGTTAGCCTTTTTGCACTTCTATGAAAAGCAGAATATTTGGTTAGAAGGGTTAGTTGAAAAAAGTATTCCCTAGACATTGCTTGAAGTAGTCTAATGAGGCTTTGTCAATTTTTAAATTTTAAATTAAAAAATATTTTTTCAACT